TTTTTTAATTTTAAAAAAAATCTTTATTTTTTTAAATTTAATATGTTATTACATTTTTAAATATATTTTTTCAACTTTTTAAAAAACTCTTTTCACTTATTTGCTATTCTGCTTGGTACCACGGAGGTACCGTGCAGAATAGCCGAGCCGAATGCCGCTCGGCAGCATTCGGCTATTCATTTACTGCCGTTCAGCAGCAAGTGAGCTGCCGCAGCTCCGGCTAGGCGGATCCAGATGTTAGATCAGCTGAGTCGAAGTCCATCTGCACTTCGGCTCAGCCGAATATGCAGAGCATGTTCGGCTAACTGAAGTACAGCCGAAGGCAGCCGATGTACGGCTGATCACAGCCAATGTACGGATGAGAGTCCTGGGTGCCAAAGTTGCCAAACTACACTGTACTATTGCCTGGCAATGCTATAATATATACATAGTAGATAAATAAAATGTTCTGCCACTCGCTACCAATGTTTTTTTTCTTTTCATGTGCCATATATCTTTATATTGGCAGGTGGCAGTTTATTTGCTGGAATAGATTTTGCAGAAAAAAAGTTAGATACTAGGGGGTTCTGAAAAAAGAAAATGCTAGTCTCCAGGAGGATGGGGACAAAAACCACTAGATACCAAGAGGTTCTAAAACCCACTTCAAAGTGAGATTCTGCCTTTTGGAGCTGATTGTTACAGTTGTATATAGGCTTAGTGTGTCCTGATGCTTAAGGAGACAGCTGTGAGCTGCGCCATGGGAGTCTGGTAGCTGAAAAAAGATTCTTCATATTCCAGACACACTGTCATACATACACAATTTGGCTACGTGGTAAGCTAGGAACTGTAATTCAGTAGTAGCCATAGAGCAACAAATTGCAGAAACCTTCTTTTAAAGAACTAATCTGTGTGGTGCTTGTGGTATACACTAAATACAGTTCCCTGTCATTGTCTTGCTTTGGCTCTCTAATCGGAATGTGCATAAGCGGTGCGTAGGCTGTAGCAACTAAGGGCATGACTTGCTGCTTCAGTATTGCACATCAGAGGAAGGGCAAGCTAGAGGGATATATCTGCTGATGCCAGGGAAAGGGTGTTTGCAAAGTTTTCATGTAAAATGCAGAAGAAAAAAAATCTATACTGTTTATTTATATTAGATTAGTCAGTTAGGTACAAAAGAAGAATTTTTTTTTTATGGAGTAGAGAATGGTAAAAAAAAAAACTCTGTCAGATTTTTGTTGCTGTCAGTGTCCCTGGTGGTTAGATTCACCTTCTCTATTTGACCTGGTGACCATTGTCACTGGGACAGAGAGTGTTTTGAAAGCAACAATTTCATTGTTGTCACTAGAAAAGGATGTGAGAAGAATTGTTCCACTGGTGACACTTGATCTGATGCCAACCGTTTTCGAGGATATTTTCCCACACTTGCTGTTGTGTCTCTTGGACAGGAAATGAAGGGAAATCTCCCCAACAGGACACAGACTGTAAAAAAAAATAATTTTATTTTGGTCAACTTGATTTT